AACTATAGTTTACATATTTCAATATTGACAAATCAATTGTAACTGTATTTTATGTTTGAAATATGTAATGAGTCTTTTAATTGTACACATGACCAATTCAGCCATTGGGCTGCAACCAGGGCTGCAATAATAATAATAATAACTAGAAAGATTGAGTGAAAAATGACATGAATGTAAAGATAGCTATAAAACGCTCTTATTGGAAAATGAATGGGAGCTGTGAGTGATTTCTTTGTTACATGTATGTAAATATAATGATACGCGACGACACGCATCTCCATACACAATGGTCATCTACGTGCAAAACGGCCCGAAACGGACAAAATTGCGCCTGCCGGACGGGTTAGCATGAGTGATTCCGGAGAACGAAGATTACAGAGACCTTGATGGGATGCTAGCGACTACGCCTACGAAGTTTGAAAGAAATTGGGATTGGGGAAAGAAGGGCTCACAAGCACTGCGTGCAAAACCAATGTGATTTGAGTGCATTATGAACACGTGATGACGCGTGCTACTTACGGCCGTCCTATTTACATAATCATGCATAGTATAAAATAGCGTCTAAAATGACCCCCTTAACATATTTTAAAATCAGGCTTTGAGAGGCCCTGAGTTTGGACACCCAGAATACATTTGCATAATTTCAAGGAAAAACGGAAAAGGGGCTAGGGGCGAAGCAGTCTGCAAAAATGACATCGTGGCCGATACGTGTTATAATTGGGCGGAAACTTGGCGGAATTCGTATAGTGACCCTTGGTAAAATGCAATTTACTCACGATTTTCTGTGTGAACATATTCCATAATTGGTATCATTCGAAAGGGCACTTCATTGCGGTCAGTTTGACACCATTGTCATCTGCACGCAATGTACTGCACACATCTAACGCGCTATTACGTAATGCATAGTAAATTCATCATTTTGTGCGATAACTTTGCGCTGACGTCTTTAAAATTTACCAAACTAGGTAGACAGTTGTCATGGATATGGATACATGTGTCTGCCAAGTTTCATTCACGTTGGTCTAAGGATCGTAATTTTAGAGCAAGTTGAGGTTATTTCAAAATTTTCTTGAAAATGGCGAATTTAGAGGGCAATTTTCTCAAATTTGGTCAGGGTAAGGGTATATAATTTTGTATATGGCTGGAAAGGGCATATGTTCGAGTATCTAAATCCAAAAAAGGGTACGGGTTTGCCAAGGCACAATAGAGATACGGCCACAGAAAGAAAGCCAATTCCCAGGACTTCAGAGGGCGCTATTTATTTTTTGCAGAGCCATTAGAGCGTGAAATTTGGCATGGCTATGTGCAATTATGAGATAAAGATACTGTGAGATTTAAAATCAAAACGGAATTTATATGAGAAAGTTATGGCAGTTTTAGATTTTTAGGGGTCCATTTTTCAAGAATATTAGAGATTTTTTATGGAATTGGTTTCAGATTTGAATTTCGAGTACGAAGATGGCATTTTGAAGGTCAGGTTATCTGTCGCAGGTAAAAGAACATCTCTTAGACTATCTAGGGGAATTTATTAGAAATGTGTAGGATCTAGAATAGTGGAGATAGGAAGGAAGAAAGAGAGGCCTTAAAATGGACCAGAAACGGACAAAATGGCGCCTGCACGGTTATGCATGAGTGATTTCGAGAATCGAAGAATGTAGTGACCTTGATGAGATGTTAGAGACTATGCCTATGAAATTTGAAAGGAAAAGGACATGAGGAAAGTACCTAACTAGGAATAACAAGCACTACGTGCAAAACGAATGCGATTTCCTGACGATAAGGAAGAAAACGAAAACAAGGAGGAGAATATTAATGCAGAATGGGGCAGAATGTGAACGAAAACAAGGCAATGACGAAGGTTCGTCATTGCAATAATGGTGGCTTCTTATATAGCGCACATGTCCGTCACGTTGTGACGCTCCTGGCGCTCTCCCGATTATTACCCTGGCTTTAGCAAGGCAGCCACTGCGGCGCACTAGCATTTCAAGGAATTAATTCCTGCCAGGTACCCATTTACATCACCTGGGTTGAGTGTGGCAAATGTAGATCAATGTCTTGCCAAAGGACATTAGTGCCGCGGCGGGACTCGAACCGCGGACCATAAGATCGGCAACTCATGTTTTTAATAAACCTTGAATTGAATTGAATTGAATTGAATCGAAAATTACTTTTACATCGACTTTAGAAAGCGCCATTCTGGCTCTCAACAGACAAGAATGCAGGCTCCGCGCGCAAAAGGTTTGCGTCCGTTCTCCCAAAATGGTGATCCGACCTTATATTGCTCCAGCGATGTTAACTCCAGGCTTTCTTTACTCAAAACATTGACTTATAGGCCTAACAGTTATTTATTAATTAGTCAATTTCTGATCGATGATGTAAGGTTAGAGGACTTAGCGTTATGGTTACGATTCGGTTTAAGGTTGGTTTTAGGGTTGTAGAATGAATATGAAAAGTTTGGTGAGTTCTCCCCACGCAGGTCGCGTTTTTTGTTTTACTTGAGGGCCGGTCGATTTGTGGTCTGAGGGCCGGTTCATGTTGCGTGGGCCTGTTGCATCAAAATTCCCTGTCACCGATATGGATTACACCATGTTCAGTCCCAGTCCGACCCCGGCGACACGGGTTGGGCATAATTATGTATGGTCTGATCAGTATTATGATAAGCCATGGCATTAATATCAAAGAGCTATAGAGGGAGGATGGGTCTTCAAAAAGCAGGTCAATTCCAGTTCCGTTCCTCTGATTTGCTATGTTCAAAGACCAATACATTAATGTCATTTTTAGTAGGCCTATATTGGTTTTATGCAATCTTGTTGATTCATCACGAAGTTCAAATAGTGCATGTCAACGCTGAATGCCACGGTTACTGGCGTTCTTGGAAAATATTAGTCCTTTATTTACCGCACTCTGTATTTTGTTAAGGGGGAAAAGGCGGGAAAAGGGCAAGCTTGATAACGTTTATTCTTGATATGCATCTTGACGATGATTATGTTCTTAGTCATTCAATGACTCTATAGAAATCGGTGTTAGCCACAATCGGTATAGGCTGCTAAGACTAAGTACAAACAAAACGAATGTATATATTCGCGTTAATAAAATACACATTGCATGTTTTATATTGAGTCATATAACGAACATTGTATAATAAACCAGGTTTGAGATTTATAGCCTATAGACATAGTCAGCAGCCTGATAGAGAACTTGGTTATATTTGCACGTAGCTCATCCTTTTGTATTATTGTCTGTACCACCGATCTCTCACTATATTTTTGGCATCGTCTACTTTTTGTATTGTGACCGTGATCTTTGTCATGTAAAGTACTCTCTTGTCCCGTTCTCGTCTCTGTTGGCATTCCTTTTCTCTATTTCTAGTTCCTCTTTGCAGTTACGAATTTGTTGGTGTAATTACTCATTATTCCTAACTATTCGACGGGTAAACAATAATATTGTACAAGCATTGCTTTTTAGGGGACCCCTCTGTTTCCAATATTTATTCCTTAAAGGTAAAGACCAGTATTGGAAACGCCCCAATTTCAAAAAATGAAATGGAAGCTCTCATTACCAATCATGTGAAAGAATATGTTTTGACTAATACATGATGATAAAAATTTGCCGGGAAACCGCCTACTAATTCATATATTTGGTAAATTCGTTTCTCTCATGGTCTGTGAGAGATATAGGGTAGTCCCATATACATCTTTCTGTGTATAGTGCTTGTAACTTTACGAAGAATGGGCCAAATTTCTTATCATTTTGATGATTCCAGAACCTTGCAGATGCTAGATGCTAGATGATCAACCTTTTCTGATCGATTCCACAACGTTTCTTTCACAATGAAATCGCATGACCATAACTGGTCTTTACCTTTAATTAATTTTTGTGTAAACGATTATATAAGTAATTGTAATGTTTTGTTGGAAAAAGAAATGAAATTGAAAATTGAAATAGAATTATGACATGCCTCCGTATGTGTACACTGACTGTTATAGTAATAAAGATTCAAGCAAAGGCGTATGACGCTAGAGGAACGATGGGGCTCCAACCCCCAATATTTTTGAAATCACCAATATTCGAGCATCCGCACGTTATATTCAGGCAGTTGGGAGTTGTAACTGTTGCTATTTTGTTAAGTATATTTTGATGACAAGAATTACATTATGTCGTGGTGTAGTGGTTCATTCACTTGACTCTCAATCCAGGGGTTGAAGGTTCGAATCCCAGTCCGACGCTAATTACGTCCTTTGTCAAGACGTTAATTCACATTAATTTTGCTGCTCTCCATCCAAGTGTAAAATGGGTAGGCTGCCTGGAATTAAATTGATGGGTAATACTAATTACAGGGCTCACAGGAATAGCTGTATTGATACTGGTGTGGCTAGGCCAAATTGTTATTTAAAAATTATTATTATTCATAGTAAAAAAGAAATGTGTAAAGTTAAAGGCATCTCTTGAGGGATTACATGACTTTTCAGGAGATGGCAGAATGTTGCAACGCGTTTAAACGCGGTGTTTACTAAATTTCCCTAATCTATGAACAAAACAACAAAAATGATGCAGCACGCCCCATCGATCTTTGTGCGTGGGACGTCACCCGATATAACAAAAGATGCACATAGTAAAGATTCGGGCTCTTCTCAAAAAATCCACCCCGAACAATAACTACAAAAGCTGATTCTGACGTCACGAAACGTCGTCTGTGATTCACTGTGTAGTACACTATTCATTACACAGTTGTGATCCAGCTATTCAAACACAGTTGTAGATGGGGATTTCAGTACACACGCGTATTATAGAGGAGCCACTTGGTTCCATTTTAACTTGAAGTTCACGGCATGTATAGTAGGCCTATATCCCAAATCAGGATTTCTTGATTTGGACCCTAACTGGTTGGAAGTTTTACTGTTTATGAACCTTCGAACTGTTTTGTGGTCCCAGCATTATGAAGTGATGTAGGACTACTTCCTTTTTATCAGCATTCGGAGCAAGATGACTTGGTATGTACCCGCCGACTTGAGCAGTGCATTTTTCTCGAATTAACTGGATTTCATCACAAGTATTTCACTAGGTTGGGGGAAGCTGGAGAAGCGCTGATTTGGATATAGCACATATTAAGTAAAATAACGCAATTCTCTTGCAGCACATACCACTTAGAAATTGCTCCGATGAACATATTCGGATCCGAATGTTTCCCGCAACCGCAAACTGGTGTACTAATTACGCGAACGTCGATGATGCGTGTATTCTGGGAGCACATATAGATTTCTAGTTTTTGCATTGATGTGCCTATACATTTTTCGGGTTATCCCGCCATTTGAGTAGCTATAATATAAAGTGTGAGTATATAAATATGTCTATCGTATATACTTACGTATGATTGATGGAATGTGCAGGGCGGTTTCAGGATTCTGTTTTAAAAAGGGGGCTCAGTACTGAAAATCTCTGAGCGAGAAGCCCCCTTACCCCAGCAAAAAAAAGATATTTCTATGTAAATGTACTTAGAAGAATGGCAGATTGGGTTTAAAAGTGGGACATGTGCCATGTGTGCCCCTTCCATTCATAGCGAGGTGTTACTAAGATCAGGGGGGCGTGGTAATTCATTATACTTTGATACCAAATTAAAGCCCCTCTTAAAAAGTGTTGGGAGCCCCGAATGAAATTCGCCAACAATTTCACTTAAATTGTATCATAATGTGAAAGAAATTGTAACTTTAAGACACACTCCTGCAAATATTTCCCCCTAAATTAATGTGTTTAAAGCCGAATATTGAAAAAACAATACTAGTTTGGGTTTTCTGTTGTACGCAGAAGACCTAAATTTTGTATTCTTTCATCATTATTCGACTTCAAACACATGTGTTTTTTAAAAACCTTGCAAAAGTGTGTCTTAAATGACATCCTGTTTCACATTATTATACAATTTAAGTGAAATTTTGCCATCGCATTTCTGGGGCTCCCAAAACTTTAAAGCTTTAAAACTGTCCACTTCCTTTTAATTGTTCCTGGTACTTATTGTGTACTACGTGAAGGGCACACTCCGGAAATATCCATCATTTTCCTTCGACGTTTAATTGCTTCGTTTAATTGTGAAGTTATAGGCCTAATACATTGTGAAACCTCTCAACAACTCTTGAAAATTATGTTTATAAGTGCGTCACGCGGCAAGCTATTTTGAATAAAGATTATCTAGTCGTTTAAACGACAGAAGTTTCATAGGGGATGTCATAAAGGTTGTAAATATCACTTTGCACAGAGTTAGAGCTCTCCAGAATCTGTGACAACATTATTATGTTGCTTTTTGCTTCTACCAAGCATTGGACACAATATGCTTCCTGATGTGTTCAATAATTAGTTTACCTTTAATTGTTCTGTCCATAATTATTATACTAGGAATGCCTAAAATATTCATTCCCTTTTTAATCGTATCTTGAAATTCTTCTTGTTAACATGCATCATCAAACAAAATGATAAAGAGATACATAATTATGGATAACATAATAATGCGCGCATGTGCGTTAACAATTTTTGTTAAAAAACAGAGAATAGGTAATCAAAGAAATAATTGACTCATTTTTATAATATAGTTAATATTGTTGTTACGTTAATATCATTGTTGTTATAATAATGTGTGGTAAAATTATGGTGAATACAGGCCGAGATCATTTTGGGGTAGTTTTCTTATGGGATTATTTTGTCCGAGAAAACTTGCCCGGGGTAAAAAAAAAAAAAAAAAAAAAAAACTTTACAAAAACGGGGTAGCTGCCCGGGAGGCGCGCGCCCGAGAGGAGTAGTCCTATGATACAGAGTTGCCTGGTGTAAAAAATAATGTCCTGCAATAGACTTAAGTTTTAGCCCTTCTCTTTAGACATGACACATATCAAAACCTTAAAGGTAAAGACCAGTTCTGGTCATGCGATTGCATTGTGAAAGAAACGTTGTGGAATCGATCAGAAAAGGTTGATCATCTAGCATCTAGCATCTGCAAGGTTCTGGAATCATCAAAATGATAAGAAATTTGGCCCTTTCTTTGTAAAGTTACAAGCACTATACACAGAAAGATGTATATGGGACTACCCTATATCTCTCACAGACCATGAGAGAAACAAATTTACCAAATATATGAATTAGAAGCCGGTTTCCCGGCAAATTTTTTATCATCATGTATTAGTCAAAACATATTCTTTCACATGATTGGTAATGAGAGCTTCCATTTCATTTTTTGAAATTGGGGCGTTTCCAATACTGGTCTTTACCTTTAATCGCGATATTCAGGGAAGTCGCTTTTTTAGTCGAATAAGCAAAGTGAAATGAATCGGATTGTGTAAACATAAGAAGCATGTAACACAGGGGCGTATCCAAAATTATTTTTCAAGAGGGGGGAGGGGAAAAATATACACTTCCGAAAAGGTTCAACATTTAGGAACAGACATTTATGTTATGTACTATGTACTAAAATGATATAATACTTATAATATAATTGTATGTGTTTGATTGAATTATACGGGTGGTATATACAATTCAGAGAAAAGGAGGACGACAGATAGATATACATGTACTGCATTTCGACGTAAAACTGTTTGTACTGGTGGTTCAGTCATAGAAGACCTTGAAAGCTGTTTTTAATTGTATTTTCTTTCTCGTTTTTCCGTATATTATTGCAGCGAATATTTTCACGCTGAATTTAATTCCCATCGCTCCAGCATGTAAATACTATAACGCATGCATGGTGAGTTACCGAATAAGATTCCCCATGCGGTTGTCATTGCGGTTTTCGCACTTTTACAAGAATTGTGACTTTTCGTTCGTAATAGTTTCTATCCCCTTCACCGAATTAGTAGAAAAGGAGGATTACTGGATAACAGCAAATTAAGTAACCATTTCATTGTACAATTATATAGAGTTCCCCTTCATTAATTCTTCTTGATCCCTTAGTATTACTTTAGCCTAACGGAATCATTCCCCCAAATGTGATATGAGTGTTTCATTGGTTTTGGGAATACATATATAGTATATTTTCGTTTTTTTTTTAATGTTGTTATGGTGGTTGCAATTAGATATGGTATTCTCTCTTTGTTTTCTTTTGAATGTTTATGAGAAAAAGAAAATGATGACAAACAACATAATGTTGGAACAGATAGGAAAGTATTCCGGCACTACATCACATTGACACTACCTCTTAGACAATTTGAAGTGCCATACGTATAGCGATTACAACATTAAAAAAATCATAACTTTCTTAAAATTTAGCAGATATAATTGAAAACTTCATTAGTTGCTTTCTCTGGTTTGTCTGCTTTCTTTTAGAATGGTTTTCTATTTGGGATGGAAATGCAGAATATCAGATGTGATGACAGAATTTATACTGCAGCATTTCCAGCATTCAATTTTTTTTTAAGGGTTGCAGACAGTCAGAGCCCCTGCTCTATCATCCACAAGTGTATTTTTAATTCCAAAATCCAAATCTGTTTCATTTTTTTAAAAGGTGGATATAGCTGTAAATTTTACAAGTAAGTAATTTTCATATAATACATGCATATACATGTAGCTAGGAGATGATTAACCCAACTAGCACTCTCGTGACAGCCGATTAAAAGAAATAGAACAGCTATTCGATCATTTTAAACCCGAAACTGGTCATTTTTACTAGATTTCAAGTCACTTTTAATATTGCAGATTCAAATTATTCAAATACATGTTCAAAAATATAAACAAAATTTTGATTAGATTCTCGAAAGAGTCCCTCGCACTTTTTTTTCTTCTATATTCAAATTCAATTAGATTCAATCCATATTTGAAAAAAAAATTCTTTTTAAAAGTGTACAATGACTTATCCACGTTTAGAGCAGCGATTTATTTCCAACAAAACATCATTATTCGCATGAAAACAATTATATCCAATTAACCTATTTAACATACATTAATTTAAATACTGATTTGTTTTGCGCATTTGACATTTACATACTTATCCTGATTACCACACAGTTGACTGCACCCCAAACGTACATGGGCTTTGTACAGTAATTATTTTGGACATATTGGCTGTGGACTAGATTGCAATACAATACTGCACCATATAGTCTGACGGATAATAAAAATCAATAAAATCTCTTCGCCTGCATGGCATTTTCCTCTTCATATCATCATACATCTGTCACACAGATTATTGCGTCGAGGTGTAAGAAAATCCCCATCTATTTTTGTTTAATTCATTATTTTCTAATTAAAAACCTAGGGGACTGAAAAATAAAATATTGTCATTGAGACGGGCTGTGTTCATGCCAGGAAAGTAAGGACACAGTGGCGTATCCAGGAATCTCGGGGGGGGGGGCACTAGCCAGAATAAAATGTGACACTCGAAAAAGAAAATGAAGGGCATCATTATTTTGAGGTGTGCTGTAATGATAATGAAGAAATAAAGGTATCACAGTTTCTTAAAGCGGAAATTACTACCGGGGCACATTCTTAAGTCAGATTGTGTTTTGCTGGGGAGGGGGGGGGGGGGGGGCAATCACCCTTGTGCCTCATGGATCCTAAGTGAAACGAATAATTAAATGAAGAACTGAATTTGTACTACTAAATGTAAAAAACCATAGACGCTACCCCACCGCAAAGAACGTCGAAAATTCCAGGGAGTGAACATGGTGTCACCACTATGAACCGTGGTGTGTGAATTTTCTCTTTGACCACAATGTGTGCGAGTGACACTGTGTTACCATTATGAACATACCTGTACATGGATTGTGTCATACACTCAGCATAAAAGTAATTTAGTTTATTAATGTTTTTAATTAAATTACTCTGTGGTGACAAAAGTATATTTCTGACAAAGATACAACCTCTATCGTTCTATTGTCGTAAAAGGGGTTTTCATTGAAAATGGATAAAGTGTGATTGTTTCTGCCCAAATGTTAATTGTTAAATAATGCAAAATCTGCGGTTAACTCGAAGTGAATCAATAAAGAATGGGGGCTGGGTCATCTGGGTGCATTGATACATTGATTGAAATCACTCGTATTTAATCGGGGACCTGATTTGGCAAACTATATACATAATGTCCCAATACAACGAAAGAATGGCAGGAAAACTCGACTTTTGGAATGCACATAATATATCAATCGCCATATTTGCTGAACTGTCTGGCGTGTTTGTATTTTACAATGACGGTTTCAATAGCTTCTCAAACATATCACAGTGCTTGGTTGTCAATGTCGATGGGAAATGGGGGCATATTCCACAATATACACTGTAGGAGAACGTCTTAAAGATTTGAGTTTTGGTCCTGCGATTACATTGTGAAATAAATTCTAGACTCAATTTGGAAAGGTTTATTTTGCCACCATACTTTGAGGGAAGTTTTCAATTACGGTTTTCACATTTGGGCCCTTTAACAAGTTTTGAGATTTTCACCGTGCAAATCCTTGCAACGCCCTATAAGATGTGCATTTTGTGGCAACCAGGATCAAAATATAAGCAACCCACTCATTGATTTCGTGAGTCTTTCTGTTAATAAGTATGTCGTGTGACTGAAGATAGTAAAGTACATTGTATATTAAGTTCGATACATGCATGATCTCTTCAAGTTTAACAGAAATATCAATTTAGAAGAGGGGCTTCGGTTCCCAAACGCTAGGTCTATATTATTGTACATTTGCCACTCTCTACCTAGGTGCAGGCGATGTGTACCTCGTGGAAGAAGTTCATTGAATACGTTTAGCGCCTGAGGGCAGCTTAGCTAAAGTTGGGGGTACCTCGTTGGCGCCGTGAATTATATGGGATATGGACGTATTACATGTACCGATTGATGATTTCCGCATACCAAGAGTCAGTTTGATACCTTTTTATTTATACCCTCTTCTTTGTTCTCCTAGTGGCGGATTAAGGGGGGGTGAGCCAGAAAGAAAGATAAAAAGAAGCGATATGGGCTGATTAGGAAGAAGAAGAAAAATCCATGAACAAATATTTTGAACTCCTTTCGAAAAATCAACACAAGGGCAATTTCAATACCCTTTTGTATCATCCTGTAAAAATCATGCTCGGATGAGTGAAACGTCATTGTCATGTTGGCAGAAGTTGTGTGAAAACATGTTTTTTTAGCACAGAGTTTGTAAAACCTTACAATTATGAACCGAGTGTACCATGTCAACTCCTTCTGTGTTCTGTTCTGCAAAGCGCGAAGAGACATGCTGGTTTATGTGCTATACAAAAATGTTTAATTATCATTATCATTATTATTAATTGCACATTTCAATGTGTAATCGTTAGTGAATATCGTAGCATAAAAATGACCCACCAAACACCTTATGCTTTTTGTTTCCTTGTCACAAAATTCTCGGTCGGACTGAGCCCCCCCCCCCCCCCCCCCCCCACCCACACCGCCACTGAATCCTCAAATCGGAGCCAGGATGCAATGTCTCCTGCCACTCTTCAACTTTTCAACAACCCCACGCCACCTTTTCTCTCATCTTCAAGCCCATAAAGGAGGTTTAAACCCATTTCGAGAGATATAAACTTAATATCACGTTGTGCAAACGAAATCATAAAATATGTTTCTGGGTTTTTAACAAAGTGTTTAGATAATGAATCAGTGCCGGAGAGCAACGCCAAAGAGCAAGCTAAATTGATTTGAAAAAGAATGTTCATGATCAACATGCATGGCGTAAGCTCCCCTGTATAAATAAATAATGAGAATAGCGAAGACTTTGTTCTATTCATAATAATGGTTATGCTCTGTTTACTATTCTCATGATATTTGTCTTTCAGGGTGTTTGTCTGTGACTTAATGATTATTAGGGGAAAACCGTGACAGAAACGAGATTTCATCATGCATCTCTTTTTATGTAATAACCTCTGATGTAAGAAAATGTGTTCTATAGAATGGTTGAAATTAATGTACGCTGTTGCCCATAACGTTGGAATTTTATTTTTCATACATCTTTTCACGAAATGATTGTGAGTGACAATATGGTATATTCTAGGTAGATTAAAGGTACTATGTCCCTTTTGCAGCCAACATCAAATTCTGTAGAACTTTGCAAGAATTATGAATATGTCATGTATGTCCTATCTGTGAAATTTAAACATTCAAATTATGCAAGGAAACCCGTTTACTTGCTAGACTTCACTGTCAGACACTGTTGAGTGACTGACTGGCTTTTTCATCTTTGGTAATAACATACATAAAATGAGCTCTTAAGGGTACATGAGCATTTGTCTACATCAATAATCCACTTCTTGAAATGGCCAAAATTAAACTGATTGAATCATTGCGTAGCATAAAACGTACGACCATTCATTACAATGGTCTGAAAAATCAGACTATTAGTTACTGGCTCTATAGCTCCTAAGTCGATTCGACAACTAAAAGTCATTATTTTCCCACTTAAAGACATTTTCAAGCCCCCCCCCCCCCCCCCCCCCCCAGGCGCGGATCCACGGGCTCAATTCTTTCGACCCGGCTATGGCAAGCCCTTTGTGTAAAAACTAGATAAACTCTGTTTTTCTCAGATAAACTCTGTTTTTCTCAGATAAACTCAGTTTATCAACAGATAAACACAGTTTATCAGAAAAACTCAGTTTATCAGTTGATAAACTCAGTTTATCAGTTGATAAACTCAATTTATCAAGAAAAACTCAGTGTATCAATGATAAACTCAGTTTATCAACAGATAAACAGAGTTTATCAGTTGATAAACTCAGTTTATCAGAAAAACTCAGTTTATCAGTTGATAAACTGAGTTTATCATTGACAAACACAGTTTTTCTGATAAACTGAGTATATCTAGTTTTTACACAATGGGCTTGCCATAGCCGGGCCGATAGAATTGGGCCCGTGGATCCGCGCCTGCCCCCCCCCCCTTTTTTTTTTAGGGAAGTTCTAAATTAGTATTGTCTTTCAAATGCCGTTGGAATTTAACCTTTTCATTTTTTGGCCTGCAAATGGGACATAGCACCTTTGAGTTATTATCTTCTCAGAACTTTAGTGATCATAATGGGCAACGGTGTTATTGTTATTGCACAACAAACACACAACTAAATGCCTGGACACGTGATTATACCGATCTCTTCTCCACTTTAAAGCCCCACTGTCCTACTTGTAGCTACTTGCTCCCTCTATATAGAAAACTTCCCCAATCGGTGCCTGTTGGTCCCCTATGATCCTCTTTTTCTTATGTTATTTGTGAGCTGAGTTGATGAGATAACCACCTGTCAGTGACCTGGCTGGGTGGTCTAATCCCTTCTGGCCCAGTATAGTATTGACAGTCTTTAAGCCAAGAAACAAATGCAAATACAGTAGTAATATATACTTCTTAAATAATGATTGTAAGGTAATATTTCTTGATCATAACACTATAGACTGGAAATCAAGACTTATATTAATGTGAATTCGTATAACTTTTGTATTATATACCTCTACATGTATATAGTACGCTTTTCATATATAAAAACGAAAACACACAGTAGCTTACGAAAGTTTTAATCTCCTCTTAAAACCCTTCTGCCCATAGTTTTCAATGATGATTAATCTATCAGGATCATAAGTGTAACATTCAGATTATACAACGTACATTTGTCTATTTCTGTATAAAAGATTTCGAATCAGTATAAAATCTAATTATAGGAGACCATTTCCTGAAATCGACATCACTGGCTGCATAAACACAACAGTTTTTGATATTTTTTTTTCCTACGAACTGTTGTTATTGATTTGTATTTCTCTCTTTTTTTTCTTTTTCCAATCATAGATATCGACTGGGAGCCGAATTTGACCCTGGGAGGTGATACTAAATCATGCATTAATAAATTGTATAGCTACATTGTATACAAGCATGTCCTCGACCTGAAGCTCTCGAACATTGTTGGGCAAACGTAGAGGGCGCTGATGTACGCCATGGCTTCGGTGACTTCAACTTCACGCGTCGTAACAGCGATGTTGCTTAATGCGACGCCGTCAAGTGGAGAGGAAGATTACGTCTTCATCGATTATAACCAACGCATCGCGGTATCAGCCTTGACACTCCTTATCAGTGTCTTTGGGTTGGTTGGGAACTTACTGGTTCTGTTTGCTGTATCGCTCTCTCGAAAACTCCAGACCAAAGTCAATGTATTCGTGGTGAACCTCTGCATCGCCGACTGCATCATATGTTGCGTCTTACCTTTCAACGTTGTTGCGATGCTCTCCAAGGAAGGATGGCCGCTATCGCCTAACATGTGTGCGGCAGCCGCTGGATTCTTGTGGATCGCTCTAGGTGTAGGAACCGTCACTCTAGCGTTAATTGCGTTTAACAGATATTACGTCATCAAGAAGTATAACTTTGACAAAGCTTATTCGTCAAAGCGGATAACATGCATGGTGGTCTTTTCTTGGCTGTACCCCGCGGTTCTGATCTTGATCGCCACTAACGCTGGGTTAGGAAGACTGGGTTACTCAATAAAGTACAAAGCATGTTTGCAGGACTCGACACATCCATTGTCGGAGTACTTGAGCCTCTATGCCGGCATCACTGTCTTCTTACCAAGTCTCGTGATCATCATATTTTGCTACGTGATGATATTTGTTCACGTCCGAAAGCATCATCGTCACCTGATCCGTATCTTTATCATTGGTGATGGAAATCGGAATGAGAGCTTCCAGGATACTGTTACTGTCGTGGAAGCTCCAGTAACGCCGCGAACTCCGACACAAGTGCATTTCCGCTATCCTCCGGAATCACAGAAGGCCGCTGATGATATCTCAGATGTCAAGGAGAACCTGTCATCCTCAGATCATTCTCCTGTTCCGTGTGACGACCTGCCGAGTCCGACGACGCCGGCGAACCCAATTACACCATCCACTCCGGCAAAGAACGGGACCGATGTTGACGGAGAAGTGCGCCCTCATCGCACCAAGTCTGTATCAGAAGAACTGTCACACACGGTGAGTCGACGCCAGGCGGACATCACTCGTAACGTCTTCTATGTCGTCTGTGCCTTCCTGATCTGTTTGACTCCTTACGGAATCGCCATTCTGTTGCCGAACAGTGAGCCAGGTGTCCCCTGGGTCATGCTTCTCCTGCAGTTCAATACATGTGTCAACCCGGTCATCTACGCCCTGAAGCATCCAACCTTTCGTGAGGTCATCCCTCGTATCCTTAGGTGTGACTTCAGCAACATCCCCGCCAAGTCAGCCTGGCTGAAGAAACTTCTTCGTAACAACTGAAATCTACTGTCCTTTGTATAAAAAGGATTATTTTCCATTCTCCATCCTTGCCGAAGAATAACGTCTTGGATTTAACTTAAAAGCGATTGCATGTGGAATTGTAGGACTACCTTGTCTTCCGCCATTCTCCGAGTTGGCCTAGCTGAAATTTAAAAACTTCTTTGGGAAAAAGGAAGAGAAACTGCACATGCTAAATATGCATACCGATCGTCTGGCTGATTAAGAATTGTATTCTTAATTTCGTTTGGCAAAATAATAACAACATATTTTTCAGATCTCGTCAATATAGTAGACATTAAGCTTTACCAGTGAGCTAGGCCTGAACACGATCGATATTTCGAGGCCTTATTTCGAATGCGTTGATAACTGCGCCAATCAAGCTTGTGAAAGCAATTAAGCCGATACGCTAGAACAGGCCTTCTCAACTAGTTTATTAGAAGTGCCAAAACGAAAAGAATTTGTAGTTGAAGTGCCACCCTGTATGGTTGACTGTTCTGCGAGGGAGCGTAGCAACTGAGCCGAAAATGGGTGGGGTCCAGGGGTGAAGCCCTAACGGGGGTAGCAGGGGTCGGTGCCCCCTGAAGATGGTGGAATTAGGGCTTTCAAAAGGCCCAAATGGGGCATTTCTAACACTATTTCATTCCACAATATAATCAATCATATTAATTTTATATTGATGTGAAAGAACAGTACAATTCCTGGGTACAATTACACTGGAGGTATATTTATATGTAGTTTTTTGTGTGCAATAAACACGGGAAATGTCAAAACAAAGTGAAAATCAAACAGACAAAAACAAGATGTTTCCAGAGATTGGCAATGTTAAAGTTGGTATCCCATCGTAAGCTTATTTGTTGTTCAGACCTTATAGTTTAGAATCGTATAAAATGGTAAAAAACAATAAATTCCCCTTTCTCACTGTTTGTTAAGCAGGCATTTTGGGCTCAAATTCAACTGCAACTTTTTGATTTAGCTGAGTATTTAATTCTAAAATATATATTTTCTTTCTTTCTGTTTTTTGTTTTGTTGTTGCAACAGTCGCGCGCCACTCCCACTGACCGCAAGCGCCACAAGTGGCGCGCGCGCCGCCAGTTGAGAAGGCCTGCGCTAGAAGATGAAATCAATTTTCCATCGCTCATTTTGCAGTCCATGAATAAACCACATATCTGAGTGTCGAGTCTTTAGAGTCGGTATGAAATATTGTCATGTTTGTTGTGTGAATGACTTATCAATTAAAGTTTTATCTGGTGATGTTTTGCACATTCTTGCCTGGAAGAACTATGTTTATGTCATAATTATCGTATATGATAAGTAAAGGCTGTCAATTGTATTCGATGAAAGCTTGTAATTGTAAATTGTTTACGATCATATTATTGGGCATTATTAAATACCAATGTTTACCTATTATCATGCCCACAAAGTGTATAAAATGTATTCACTTGTTCTTCCAGTACACGATATTTAATTGTATTAATAACCATTTCTATATACTTCTCTCCTTCGTTTTCCTTTTTCTTTTTTACACTAGCGTTTTTAATCTCTTTTTACACTCTCACGCCTCCTTTACAACATTTCTCTTCGCTTTTATGTATTCTTTGAGCTTTTGTATAGTCGGTGTTTATTATCCATTAAAGTATCCTTACTTATGAGAAGCAATGGGGGCTTTCTGAAATTGTATTCTCTTATGTCAAAGGCGTACGAGAAGGAGGGCTAGAGGGGCTGCAGCCGCCCCCCCCCCAAAAAAAAAAATACAAATACAAATACAAATACTCGGAAAACTAGTAACTAATAACTCATATATTCAGGAGGTGTGTGTGGTTTTCATCTCATTTTGTTCGTACCTCATCGTATTAGAAAGAAGAATGAAAAAAAATTCAATGTAGTATTCTCCATGACTACAATGACGAATACAATAGTGTACTAAGATTGCCCTTGAGTCGATTTCTCGAAAGTCTTTGTGATCGTATTTCATCTACATGTATATCAATAACTAAATTACATTGAAACGCTATGACAAAATAGCTGTAACCTGCATATACCATGTCAATTTTTTTTTAGAAACCGTAAGGTCAATGATATTTGACCTATGGGCAAAGAGATTACAGCTCGATGACGGAATTGGTATGGATACATCAGGACATGTGTACAGATGTAATGATAGCTGTATATTTAAAATGGGAATATTCATTTATCCACTGCATTACTAATTTGATCTATCTTTATGCATTAATTGTGCTATTCGATTTGCTATCTTTCAGCTTGTGAACAAAACAGTAATAAAAACGGTTTACTTACATATTCAAATTTATGGATGTTTCATTCTTGGGGACCCAGTGACGAACTATTCCATTAACCTGTTATTAATAACATACATTATTTGTTGCTATGGTTGGCAATCGTCGGGCAAGCTTTCAGGTTGCCATGAACAACCTTTGTTTAAAAAAGTCTGCATAAAACTTGAATATGTCAGGAAACCGGTCTATTCCAGATTTATGAGAAAGGGAAGTTCGCCCTCTATAGGGCATGATTGTGAAACCGGCCTTTTTGAGCCACGAATTTGAAAACGTATTCAATAAAGTAAAATTGCTCGCCAAGTCATTTGGCGATGTGACTCTTATTCTTAACATCTTTGTCTTACATTATGGCGTATACATATCGAAAGCAATATAATCATGTTCTCGATGGAAATAAAAAGAGATGATGCATATTATTTGACCTCTCTTTTCATTGTTCTATTTTGTTTTGTTTTGTTTTGGAACTCTATCTTAGTCTGCGTATTTGAGAAAGTTAAAGAATCTACAAAACAGTTTAAAACTCACCTTTGTCTGAATTTCAATTAACTTGAATACAATCTTATTAACACTAATACCATCATTAACTTTTTTATATAATTATCATTGTTTTAAACATTATTATTATTATTATTATTATTATTATTACTATCACTATTCCCCTTTTTATGTAATTATTATCATAAATAATTATTTATTATTGTTATCATTATTACTATTATATATTTTTGTACCTAATCAAAGGTCTTTGAGAATGTGCGCGCCATAAATTGATATGTTTACCTTGCATGTCATATCAAATAAGAAATATATGATTATGGAGAGAGTCTCATTTTTCGTTCTGGTATAAATTTATGTTATAGTGATGAAATAGATTTATAATCGATGCGCTTCATGATTAATATATAAATCAATTATTCATATTAAAATGTTATTAAATAATATTTGTATTCGATTTTTAAAACTCAAATATATAAAGAGGAAATACCTTCCGTATGAGTATTAATAAATATATATAGAGAGAGAGAGAAAGAGAGAGAGAGAGAGAGAGAGAGAGAGAGAGTGTGAGAGAGAGAGAGAGAGAGAGAGAGAGAGAGAGTGTGTGAGAGAGAGAGAGAGAGAGAGAGAGAGAGGGGGAGGGTTATGGGGGTAGGAGATATTAAGAGGGGGAGGGGCAAATAAATATTAGAGCAAGAGGGAAAGTGAAGTGGCAAATCATACATTTTTCTTACATACAATCATGAACAAACAATATGCCCAAATAGTATAATTATGATTCATTATACTTTATAGCTATAGGCGGACGATAATACATAAATAGTATTACTATTTTCAAGAATCAGATGTTCAAACAAGGAATCATAAACTCCTTTTTTCAACTAGATACATACTAATCTGCGTGAAATAATTACAAGATTCTGCACTTACTTATAGTAAAAACACTCGAGAGTCGATTCCAAATATACTCTGTATCAGTGTCTTTGTACCACATGCGATGTGCAGAATCATAGTATATGGTTCAAGTCCACTTTGACCATAGAGCTATATACTACTAACACATATATCTCTATGATTTTGACTTATCAGCATCCAGTTAAAGGGATCAGGTAACTTTGTCTTAGATCCTTTCGAAATAATCCTTGATTTAGCTCATGCTGCAATGATAATTATAAACCTTTAGGTCAGTCAGGAACTCCATGACTTTTACAAGCCGATCGCCTGTCTGATTATCAAGATATTAATGATTGAAATTACAAATTTTGAAAACCGTTCGCCGAACGGTTTTCATAACATTACAGTCTATTGGGGAAAACGAGTATGGTAAAACCGGTCACTCAAAGATTTTTACTTTTTGAGGCACTTCTTGATCATTTTGAAGCGCGATTTTTTTAGGGCTTCAATATTACACCATATCACAGACACTGGTAATAATTATGTAGGACCGTGTATCGCAGATTTAACATTGTTAAACGATCCCTTTAAGGAATATAGATGGCGCTCTTACAAAGTCAAATCTTTTTCTCTCTCTCTCTCTCTCTCTCTCTCTCCCTCCCTCTCATTCTATTTCCCTCTCTCTTCTCTTCTCTAATTATTTTTTCTCTCTTTCTCTCTCCTTCCCCGCTCTCCCCCCCCCCCTCTCTCTCTCCCTCTCTCTCACTTCTCTTTGCGAATTATTTTTTCTCTCCCCCCCCCCCCCCCTCAGTCTCTCTCATTTGGCATACGTTTAGCACACACCAGCAAGCAGGCAAACAACTACATCATTAACAACAACATCATCATCAACATCAACAATAACAACAAATTAAAGATACCTCGATCATTGATTGTTTTCCGAAATTACCCTCCCCCTTGTTACAAATTTCTTGACAACGACCCTGGTTTTACTAGACTCGGGTAACAGTGAGCTATAATAATAGTATTACATCGAGTTTAAAGATGTTCTGTATAGTTTTGGGTCCCGCTGCATAAAAATTACCATCCATGGTAACCTTGCCATCAATATTAATTACCGTGGCAACATCACCGAACAGCCAATCAAATCAAGCTTTTCATGGAACGTACCATCAATCGTAAAGTTATGCAACGTTGCTCTGGAATATCACTTGATTTATTACTGATATGTTCTCAGTGGCGGATCCAGCTGGCGGCAAGAGGGGGGGGGGGGGGGCAATTCGTGAGAAAATATTCAGCGGCAACTCAGCCAGCCGGTGAATAAGCGGGGGAGGAGGGTAAAGAAGAAACATTTTTTTTTTCCTAGCGAATCTTTTTTCTAATAAACTTTTTAATTATTATTATTATTTTTTTTGCCAGGGGGGACCGGGTCGGCCCCCCCCCCGCGGATCCGCGCCTGTATGTTCTTATGTACTGACATGGTGTGAACATTTGGGGAGCGCAGCGACTGAGGGAAATATACTTTCTTAATACCATAGATGTGTGATTTACTAGATAATTCTATCATTGTCCTATAGCATAACTCTTTTTCTTACCACGAAAGTATTTAATAACTAACACGGACACAGACGTTAGATGATTTATTCAAAAATTGATGAAATAAATTATGATAATTGTCAAAAAAAAACTAGACAGGATACCATACCAAACAATTTGAAGAACTCGTGGTAGGGGCGGGTGGTGACCAAAGCAACCCCCTCCCTTACGAAAGGATGGAATTTGACATAAGGGTTTCGTTGAGGTCTGTTCTAAATTGAATATACCTTATTTTCCGCTTACATAAGAGCGAAATTAAAGTAGGATAGGAGAAAGGGAAGTGAAAATCCTAGGGAAGCAAAGTCAACATAATGAATACTGAGAGTCAATTACATGGAATATGTTGCTAGATTATGTGGTAAATCCCCCTCCCCGCCATTGAAATTAGTTGTTGATAGATATTACAAACATTATGGCTTGCCCTACCTAACAACATGTAATATATGCAATTTGCATTCTGACTTTTGAAATACAGTTACTGTATTAGTAACAGGAGAACAAAATAGTTCATTACTGAGGCACTTACAATTGTAAGTATAAAATTTGGTTACATTATGAAAAAAAGGCCTTCTGTTCTTGTGACTGTAATGCTTATACCGTGTGCTGGCGCTACGTAAAATCGGGGAAAACCGCGACAAAAACCTTTGAAATCATTGAAAGCTAGTCAACCTTTATTATACGAGTCTTCAATCAAAGACTTTGTTTTGGAAATTAAATTTAAAAAGCACAAACACAAACACATCCACACGCACTTACACACTGCATTAAACCAAAGTCAGCTTCAACCAACTTTGCTAAGAAAACAAAACAGGCCGGTTATAGAATTTAAAAAAAAAAGAAGATTGATCTGCAAACTGATTTGAAAGAGTGAGTCGGTCTAGTGGTAATATCCGTGGTACGGTTAGTTCTCTGACTCAGACGCACCCCGGTTCGAGACTGGGGAGAGGTGAGCTGTTGTGTGGCGGCATGTTTTGGTGAGCTTTCTGTCACTGACTGGCGGCAGGTGACCCCAGTTCGAAACTGAGTCATGTCTTTCGGATGGTGACGTTAAAAGGTCGGTCCCCAGACATAATAATCATATATAAATAATCTGATTGATACACGTCTGTAAAACCCAATTACACACATTGATTTACAGCATATAGATATTTAATATGAGTTTATTTTTGTTTTTCTTCAGTCGCTCCACAACAAATTAACAAACATAAATTCAAGGTAATTTATATTTATAATGTGAATAAAATTGACTACTCAAGATACAAATATTTGTTGAACTGTCGAGTTAACATTATACATAAATATGTCCAATAATGTATTTTTGATATTCTTGAACAACAACAAAAGGTTAAGACAATACGATAGACATAAATGATAGTCTATAGTCTGATTATCGGGGCTATCATGATACATTTTTGTGACCACTGCTAAAAAAAAATCTTTTTAAATCAGAAAACTCAGAAAAATATCTTTTTATATAAACAAATTCCTGAATTGATTGATTGATTGATTGATTTTTATTCGACAAGCTTCCAACATACAACAACATACAATAATAACAGATCAAAAATAAGTCAGCTTGAACAGAATAACCCACGAAAGCTCGAGAGCTTATTTCCAGTGGGGTCCCTTGAAACCCATTTCTTGTGAAATTATTATTTCTACAATTCGAATCTGCAATATACTTTTCATTTTTGAAATAATTTATAATCGAAACTCTAATATTATCAAAGTCGGGCAATATTTTCTTTATTTTGCAAATATACACCATCTGAGGTTATGTTCATGATTCCGTTATTATTATCATTTTTTTTTAATATTAAAAACAAAAAATAATTGTTCCTCATTAATTAGCAGGGCCTCATGGAAGACCACCATTATCTGTGATGAGTCACCCTGGCTAAATATCAGAAATAAATAGAAAGTTCAGACCCATTTTTAGTATCGACTGTTATCGAAATTGTAGTTATCACATTTTCTTGTATTCTTAGGTAGTATATTAGTACTAAGTTCTGTGATATTATATTACATCATGTCAATTTTATTTAAAGACCTGCTGACTACTTTTAGGCTATTTTTGACAAAATGAAGCCATACAATTCACCCTAAAGCTCAAACGAAAGTAGATAATTGATTCTTGTATCGTTCTCTATGTTTCCACCTTTGAATGTATTGGCAAATGTATAAGCTCTTTTAAAAATCGTGCTCCATGAGCCCCAATGAAGGCTATTTTCTTTTTTCTTCCAACAAAAAAGTTGAGCAACACTACAAGGGTTCACTCGCGGTTTCATTTGCTAATCTTCTCTTTCTTCTAAAAAAATGAAGCAATGCCATTTGTCCTAAGATAATAATAGCACATGAAAAGAAAAGAGAAAGGACAGTTTGATTACTAATCTACCTTGAACAATCATTAAAGATTTATTTCTCGGTTTAATCTTGATTTGCATTCTTGCGGTTCGTTCTTGTAGAACGGATGAGTCACCCGTCTGAACGGATTCCCTCTGTGGTCACGTGACTTTAGTTTACATTAGCTCTTCGGCCATTTTGGATAGGTGCGGAAGTACAGCGATCGAAATCACACACAAGTACTTTCATCGCTAGAATCAGATCCGTTTTTCTCCGATGTTCATCTCTGTCCCACCGCGGTATTATCCGGATTTCGTGGATTAAAATCACATGAGTGTTATATCAGGATTTATTTGTGGTATGGAATCCCGTATGAGCGTGGAAACGTACTTTTGAGGACACTACATCTCGGATTTTTACCTCGCAGTGCCCTTGGAATAGCTTGCTACTACAGCAGCCGTGGCCGTACGTTCGCCAGTGGACTGCCTGTGCTAGCGGGCTCGCTCGCTGCCTATCGGTTGCAACCAGTTGATCCTTATTCGGACTGTGTAGAGCTGAACTTTCTTCAACTTAACTGCCGTCTTAACGCATTCCCTCATCTTTCTTCACGAAAGGTATAACATTTATTTGTTTGAATTACTTTAAGTATAACAAATTTCCATGACTATTAATGGATGATTGAAAAGGGACTTTCTCTTGATCATTACCTCAATTTTGGCTCAAAATAAAATCAACAAGAATTTAATTTCTTCAATTCCTTCAAATTTGAAAGTCTAGTAAAAAGTTCTAATTTTCTTGTGTTGTGAGCATGCTTTTATTTAACATTGGAAGTGTATCCAGACTTTGACCCATAACTCCGGCTTGGAGATACCCTACTAAAACAATACCGAAAATTGACTAAATCTTCATCAATTGTTCAAATAATTAATGGTCATGATTTAAAAGTTGTTATGTTTCTTACCTGTTCCGTGTCAATTTTCTTATCTTTTTTGGAGAATTTTTCCTAAAAACAAAGGCTTATAATATACACTTTCTCACGGGATTCACGGCCAACTGCTGCACAATGCAATTGTTAAAACTTATATTACCTTAATAACATTAACAGTTTAACTTTTCAAGTCTTCAAAAGTCTCAAGAGGAGGTTCAGATTTCAATAAGTCTTTACAATCAATTTTGAATTTAAATTGATCTACAAAACAATTTTTTATATGCACATTATGCATAGCCTCAACAAAAGAAAATACAAAATTTCTAAAGAAAAAAAGAAGTTCTAGGTCTATTATAAAAATCTCTAAGTTCTTACTGAAAATTGATTTAGATCACTGGCATTGGTGGCTCGACTTAAATAGAATTCGCTCTAAAATACAAACTTTTAAAAACATTTGAAAATATTCAGAGTTATTCATCAGTTTCAAACTTTCGATGTGTTTTGTTTCCAAACTTGTTATGCTTGTAACGTTCTGTTCTTCTTGTTAAATAATAAATTATATCAAAACAAGAAACAGCAGGCAAGTTCCTAAAGCAAAATACAGGATTTATATTATCAAATTGTACCAGTCCGCTGCTAAAAACAAATGTGTATAGCACTATAGCTACTGTAAGTCAGTAGAATGTATCAAATTAATATGAAGAAACTATTGGCATTTTAATTGTTAAGTTTGAAACTTGAAATAAATATGGAGAAAATAAAAGATGTTAAAAAGCCCTCTGAACCGAAATCTGACTTGTGTACCATGCATGCCCTATTCTATGCGAATGCATTCCCACAAATCATATTTAAAGTGCAATATATTTGATGCTCACATTTTGAAAACGGTCGGTATACATGCAACATGGAAACCCTCACGTCAAGAGGAAATCATGTTTTGGTGACTGATCATACATTACCTTTACCTTTACCCGAGATTCTGGAAGAATGCTGTGTTCTCAGCAGTCGGGCTTTCAGTTCAATTTCATTTTCTTCCTTCTCGTAGTTGGGTGTCTTCTTGGTAAGTTTGTCTGGCTCAGTTCTGCGTCGGGTATTCTACTCATATGGGGAGCAGAAACGCTTGTCCTTCCATACTCGATCCAGTCTGGCTTTAAAGGCATTCACTGTGGTAGCAGTGAATACCTCTTCAGGAAGTGTGTTCCAGTCATTGATGACACGAAAGGGGAAACAGATTTGTCCAGCTGTACGTAGACAGAATGCTACACATGAACCCACACCATGTCCATCTACTCAGACAGATTGATGTGTGTGTGTGTATAGATTGGCATTCACTCGCATTGACATGTGTAAATAATTTACAAAAGTACATGTAGGCCTCATTTTAATATATGCGGATGGGAAGTCCTAATGTGAACCCACCCACACATTCTTAATCACCACATTACAGCTGTAATTATCAAAATTAAGGCTTAACATGAATTTATGTACTCTGTGTGACTAATTATACCAATTGTTTTGAAGTCCATCAATATGAATAAATTGTTTAGAGCCAGAAGGGCGTTAATTGGTAACATTTAAGAATTAACACCTTTTTGGCTCGAGACGAAATGTTCTTGTACAAGATTTGTGTACAGGTGTACATGTGTGAACAATAGGTTGCTTTTGGTATTCATTGCAGTGCATACTGTACTCGTAACTTCCCAGTACATACACTTATAGTTTTGTTCAGGAGTGAGAGAGAATTTCTTCCTATCCCTGCATAGCAACTGTGCACATGCATTCCTATTTCCTAATCCTGTAATATTTTTTGTGAGTGGCAAAAATGGAATACTCTTCAAGTGCATTGCCTTGAAATTTCAAGTTTTGTGGAAGGAAGACTTTAAATGTCTTGTTAAATTCCTCTCCAATCCTGCAAAGCACAAATGTACAAACTCAAGTTCCTATTGTTTTCTTTTGTGAGTTGGAAATCAAGTTTTCGTTTATGACTTTGAAGGTCCTGTCTACAAACAATTCCTCCCCAAACCCTGGACAGTAGTGAGCAAACTGTGTGCTGTATATTCCTACATGTAATAATCTAATGCTTTTTGTGAGTGGCAAGGAAAATAGGAAATTCTTTACATGTCTCTTGCCTGTAAAGTTCAAGTTGCTGGCCATTTTTTTTTTGCTGGCTAGAGAACAGAGGGGCCATTGAGAGTGGTTTCTGGGCTAGGGTCCTTTAGGGGGGAAAGGGAAGGTTAACTCAAGAATAGCACTGACCTTTAGTTTAGGAAAAGAGAATTCACTTTAAGGAATAGAAATTGCTGGTCTGTGAATGGATATAAAGATGAAAGAAGAAGAGACTATAGTATTATGGTTCAGTAGGGTCTGTCCTTTCTTCCTTTCTTTCACCCCTCCCCCTTCTCTATCTCCCCCTAGACAGTATTGGTATTGTTTTATCATATTTGTCACATGTTATGAATGAACAATTGAGGCTGCAATTTTATAGATGAAAGCAATAAAAAGAATAGTCAGGGCTAGTTTATGTAAGGTTATGATAAAGAAAGAAGAAAAGACAAATGGATGGATGGATTCTCTCTTTATCCTACATACATGTACACTATGTAAATTGTACAAGAATCTTTACAGACTATTTCTTTTATGATCAACAAATGGTAAATGTCACGAATAAGCATTTCTTACATTGCTCCTAATGTAAATGTTGTACACTGTAGATAAACGTGTAGGGAGAAAATAATGTATGAGTTAAAGGTTCTCAAATTAATATTTGGAAAGTCTATTTGAAAGTACATGTAGTTTCGAGTCATTTACTTATTTGGCTTAGAATTTTAAAGAAGGTAATAAAGAAAAGCAGCAATGTTTACATCAGGCAAAACTTCATATTTTTTCGTGCAATAAAAGTACATGTAGATATATGTTATGCTACGGTCACAAAGGTTCGTACGAATGATAATTTTGTACGAATCTCCCTGTTTTTCCATTGTCTTCCCAAATTTCCCTTTCAGTAGTTCGTAATGTCATTTGTGACCGAGGCTTATTGTAAGTTTGAACTTACAGTGTACATGTATCTTGGGACTATGACACACATTCACAAAAAACCAACAATTACAGGTTCATTGATACATGTTGAAGAGTAACTTTAGAGACACAGTGATATTGTAATCCACAACTCTTTCTGAACTGAGCTGATCTCAAATTAGAGTGACACGATTTGCTTGTTGCTTTAAAATAATAAGCATTCACTTGACATTGTCGAGATGAAGACTGTGTAAGCTTGCAATTTGAATTATGGTGCCCTCATTGCCCTGCCTGAGATGCAGATGTAGAAATCAATGAAGGAAGGAAGAAAAATCAATTCTGTACGGAACAGAGAGAGAACGAGAGCGAGAGCGGAGGAATAGGTCTTGGAACCTCCATATATTTGCCAGCCCTTTGCCCATGGCATTCTTGTGCCGACTCAAGGTGAATGGATTTTATAAGGTCAGAGACTTTAGGAGCAGATGTGAGATGTGGTCATGCTTTGAACATGGGACAGGTTCACATCTTGTATTGACTGAACTTCGGTTCCTGAGTTTTTTTCCGTTCCTGAATGTTTTCCGTTCAGATCTTCAAGTCGTAGTGATCGAATTTACCTTTTACTTCCTTCAAAAAAAAGGTACACTGTATTTACATTGCATATCCACTGCATGTGCACTGTATTATCCAGTATGCTGACAAGAAGACCACATTTTCATACAGGCCTCCTTTGTAAATGCCATACAGCTGTAGCAGAAAAGTTACTGACCACAGCAGTCATACTTGAATTTCTTTTTAGAAATACTTAATTATTGGGCATGATTAATAATTTAATATGGCCCAAAATTATGTGAATTGACTTCAAGCCTTTAAAGGTAAAGACCAGTTCTGGTCATGCGATTGCATTGTGAAAGAAACTGTGTGGAATCGATCAGAAAAGGTTGATCATCTAGCATTTAGCATCTGCAAGGTTCTGGAATCATCAAAATGATAAGAAATTTGGCCCATTCTTCGTAAAGTTACAAGCACTATACACAGAAAGATGTATATGAGACTACCTGTATATCTCTCACAGACCATGAGAGAAACAAATTTACCAAATATATGAATTAGTAGGCGGTTTCCAGGCAAATTTTTTATCATCATGTATTAGTCAAAACATATTCTTTCACATGATTGGTAATACTAATAAGAGCTTCCATTTCATTTTTTGAAATTGGGGCGTTTCCAATACTGGTCTTTACCTTTAAGGTGATCTGAAATATTTGTACATACATCTTGTACATGTACAGGAGCGCATGCGGATCTACATGCACATTCGCAGAGCTCTGCATTCAATTTCTGTACTGTATGGTTTATAGGTCTGCATCCCTAGTCCATCTACAATGTACTGTACATGTATACAACATAACCTCAAAGGCTCATACTCCTCACATGGGTTGTTCACATCTTTCACCCAATGTCAGCATACACTCCAGTGGAAACACAGGGCTCTCCAGTGCCAGAAGGTACAAGTTGGATTCTGTTTAAGATTTCAAAAGAAGACACCGACCACCTTGTGTCCAGGAAGCAGGCATGAGGCTTTGCTAACGGAGTGTGCATGCAGAAACAAAAATATATGGAGGGGAGATTGTACAATACATGTAGGGGTTTTCCTTCTGAATTTCTTTTTGT